TGTGCCAGTGTGTCCCATCATTCCAGGTCATCTGTGGTCAATGTTCTCCCAGATGTGCAACCACATGAATGTTGAAGCATAGCCCTGCTGCTCGTGACCTGGAACGTCATGTCTGATTTTTGAAACTACTTATTCTTCTACTTTGAAAACTGCTGCTTCTTCTCTCTGTGGTAGCTGCAGACCCATTTACCATCACCAGTGATGAAGGTTGGATCATCTGGATTGCTGACTGACACAAAAGGTGATGCTTTCTTGTCTGTTCCAGTTTGTCATCCATGAATAAATCACAAATGCACACCTGCCTGTGGTCACACATGTGTGTGTAACACAGGTCCCACCGCTGATAGCCTGGCGTCATGCAGTCTACTGACTTGTGACGGTTAACACGGCTAACACGTGCTGCTTGTGCATGACTGTGACGCTGTGTGCAAATGCCCCTTAAGCAGTGCTAGAACTTTTTTTTAAGACTATTTATTCTGGTGTTTTTGCCTTTATTAGTTAGGACAGTGAGACAGGAAAGGGGGGAGAGACCTGCAGCAAGTGGGAGTCGAACTCACGACCACTGCTGTTCATGGGTCGCCCGCTCAACCAGGTGAGCTACAGGGGCGCCCCAGTGCCAGAACTGTTTGCTCAGCCCTCAGATTTTGTTGCATTTTCATTCCTGTGGTCCAGACTTTTATGCACACAGAGCTGTGCAGCACTGCCGTTAAGACTGCTTCTGCTCCTGTTTCATGTGGGATTCATTTTCACCAGCTGGACTATTGTTCTCAGACGGTCTTCAATGAAGCCACGTGTTCCTCCTCTTGTCCAGTTTCCATTTTTAAGTAAAATTTTATAAAACCTAGAGTGCAACCAAATCATCAGTTTCATGAACTCCAGTAATGAGTTGGACATGTTTCAGTCTGGTTTCAGGCCAGTGATAGCACTGAGACATCCTGAGTGTCAGCACTACTTGATCTGAGTGCTGCTTTAATATGGTTGATCACAAAATTCTTCTTCATCTTGTACTGTGTGTATGTGGTGTTTTTAATACGCTGGAAGACTTATCATGAACAAAATAAACAGGGAGCACCATGGCTGAGCACCTATAAGCTGCAGTGTACTGATTCAGACAGTCAGGGTTTCACAAGTATCAACCAATGGGACTCTGATACACAGAGATGAGAATTTAGTGTTTTAACCAACCACCCAGGAGGCATTTAAATAGACTGGGGTGTCTCAAACTGTTCTTATCCAAAAGAGAGTTCTGTGCTTCAATTGATAATAACTTTCTAAAAATCTCCAAAATAAGCTTCTGGGCTTCCCAAAGATAGAATCACATCTTATTAATTTAAACATGTTAGCCCTTGGTGCTTGGTGACACAGGATGGACTAACGCTGTCTGGAGCAGCTGGACCTTAACCAGAGAGTCTTTTTGTTCCATGTTGGTTTGCTGTATATTTGCTGTTAATTGACCAGCTGACTCGTGGAGACACTGAGCAGTGTGTTTTTTTTACCCGTTCAGCACACACAGTCAGTCTAGTACACCAGGTTTAGAGTAGCCCCAGTTTGTGCCCCTCATTCGGGTCACAGAGCTAACTATTGTTTTTATAAAAGTAAATGAACCAGCACTGTTTGAAAAACCCAAAACACTGACCATTGTTTGAAGGTATCTGGATGAAAAATATTCCATCCGCTGAATACGAGATTTTAACCCGTTTTCCCAGCTGGAACCGTCTTTGTGATGAACGCTGATGAATCAGGGGCACAAACTGGGACAAAGCTGAGGAGCGGTTGCTTCCGCTGTGTGAACTTTACAAGCTAGTGCAGATAATCAGGTTTTGTTTTGCTACCCAATTAGCTGTGAAGTTATATTTTTGGTATATTTATTTGATTTGGCTCGAGCTGCTGCCCTTTTACTTTGTTTACTTGTTTGACTTCTCTACCTGTGTTTGGATTTCTAACCTGATCTCTGCCACCGAAGCAGTAAATGGTGTAAAACGCCTGATTCCAGCTGTGTTGTGTTGCTTCCCTTATCTCCAGGGCCATAAAACTCCTGTAAAATCTCTGAGTATAGGGAATAGTCTTGCACAGCGCTCCTACCTGTCTCCACTCTGAACTCCCATGGGCACGCAATAGTTAAGCTCCAGTCGGGCGATGTTTCCGAGCCGCAGCACGATTCCCGCTCCATACGACCAGCGAATGCACTCGGCTAGCTTCTGAAGGTGTGCTCGGGGACCCTCACCTGCACACGGAACACACAACAATGTCACAACACAAATGAGAAAACTGCCACACGGTCTGTTTCCTGACACAGTCTAGATCTTGTTAAGAGGACTGTTGTGTTAAGCGACTTTCCCCAAGAATTTCGGACATTTTGTGGTATTCACTGTCGTCCAGGATCTTTTAAAAACACAACACATTTGAGTAAACTAAAATCAAAGCTACAGCAGCAAATTCGGAGTGTGCTCCTTCTAGAGTGTGCCAAAAAGAAATGAGGAGTTCTCAGAAGAGTGGCACAGACGCAGAGAGAGAAGATGACAACGTTCACACGAAGAAGAAGCTGAATCTGCTGGAGGACAGAGATCCTCCACTGTGAGGTCCAGTCCACCCACCGTAATTGAGGTTGCAGAGGTTGCCTGCGTTGAGAAAGAAGTGCGTTCTAAAAAGGTCTCCGAAGCCTCCCTTTCCTGGTCTGAATGGCAGAGGGGTGTAGAGGTGCAGACCGCCTGCCCAGTACGCCTCTCCACCCAGATAGTCACCTGGAGAACACAGAAGAAGCTTTAAACTGCTGCATCACGCCTTCAACTTCACAACAAGCCTCCCTCAGAGCTCTGTCAGATCTGTTCATCTCGTTTCAACACAAACCTCTTCTCTAACAAATCTGACATTCAGGCTCAGAGCTAATTTGCTCACTCCGACTGCTACTTCATGCAGGTTGCTTTTGTAGCAGTCGTTTGTTATTAGCATCTGATGTACGTAATAGGAGAGGCTGAACAAAATGAGTTCACATTAGAACTGTGATTCTAATCTTGTATGACTCAAAATCAGTTTGCAAATGCAAACGACAGTAGCTTCTTGCAATAATGTTGAAGGAATAAATGAACTGAAGTGATCTGTGAGGGCACAGTGCAGCACTGGAACATGGCATAACACCACAAATGAGAGTTATGTGACAGAAGTTCTGCTGAAGAATGCTCATGAATCTGTGTGTGTGTGTCTATGGAGTGTATCAAGGACGAGAAGGTGACAGAGAGCGTCTGTGTTGCGTTTCTGAAGACACTGTTTTGGGTACAAGCTCAGGACGCTCTACTTAACCTGAAGGCTGGTGGAGCGGACTGAGCTGGTATCTGTCTAAAAGACTGCCGTCCTTTAGCTTCAGTTATTGTTTAGATCAATTTGAATCACTTGATAAAACTTGACAACAGGATTGACGATAATTTGGAGAACTTCTAACAACACTTTTTGACTTCACAGAACTCTGACAAATCAAACATTCAATCAGTTAATGCAGAAAATAATAAGCATGTTCATCTATAATGAAACACATGATAGAAAATAGTTGAAACTGAGCTTCTCTGAAACCAGCTGCAACAGCAAAATTCTGCTTTTTCATTAAAATGTGAGTAATAACCTAAAGACAGAACATATAGTGACAAAACAGTCACAAGGAACATTCTTATATTTTACTTTTAGTAGAGAAGCTGTGATTACATTAAACTCCATCTTGCTTTCTGATCAACATGATGAAGACATTCAAGTATTCAACTAATTTTAACTTGCAAAGTTTCCTCTGACTTCTTTACCTTCACTCTGTGGCCCAATGCTGTACATCCCAAATCCTCGTACACTAGTGGGACCTCCAAGGTAGAACCTGGACAAAACACACCACTTAAACATCCCCTCAGAGAACAGTTTTAGTTTAACATCACACATCTACCATGTGAAAGAGGAAAACTGAGTGATTAAAGCAAAGTCACACGTCAGGTTTACTACTAAAAAGAAATGAAATGACTGTGTCTTTTTCCATCACCTTTACAGGTACTGGCTTGACTATAAATGCATCCTTTTGATATTTTAAAGCAACTGGCTGGTAAAGTGGTGGCTTGCTGAGGTCTCCTGCAGCAGCTGGCATGTGTCAAAGCCAGATGGCAGCTCTTGGATGAATCAGACGTACCTGTCAGCGATGCAGGTGGGCTGTCCTCCGATGGGATAAAGCATCCCTCCCCACAGAGAGGCAGACAAGACCTGAGAGGACACAAAATGGTCCATTGATGCACACAAAATTAAAAGAATACCTCATTAAACACAACTGTTAACAAAAAACTGCAGTTTTTCTACAACTACTTAGTAAATCTGTGTTGCCCCCTGGTGGTCAGTTAGGTCACACACTGCCTGAGCAAAAACGTAAGGGAAAAAACCCCACAGACTTCATTCTTGGCTGCTGCTTTTAGTAGAGAATCAACAGGTTTATAGTGACTTATTTTCGTCTTACAGAGTCCCAGAAGAGCCGTCTGTTGAGCTGCAGCTCAAAATCCTCTTTCAAGAAGCTGGCGTCTCCTCCAGTGTACCCAGCCAGCTCCTGTGGCACAAAACACACACCACGGTTTAGTAACACAGGACACACCAGGACGAACAGAGCTGCTGTTTCAAGGCCAGGATCATCAGCTATGATTGTGTAGCTGGTGCTGTTTTCTTTGTGAATCTGTCGTTTTATGTGTACGTCATCGTGGTAACTGTGGTGTTGGAGACACCTTCTTGGAACCAGGTGTTACCAGTTGATGCATTTTCTCGATGTGACTGTCCTGTTCTTTGTTTTCAGTGCAAAAGTCTCTAATTCACACATCTTCTGTTAAGATAAGACGATAATTTGTGCCATAAAAAATAGAAAAATAGATGTTTGACTCCATTATTTCTACAGGATTCTTGAAACAAGCTGGTTTTCCCATATTGGTTGAATATAGGAACGCCCTGATTATAGTCCTTGACAAAAGAACTTTATGAGAGGAGGAAACTTGTCCAACCTGATTACCCAAGTTACTAATTGATTTATATTTTCTGTGGCAGTCTGTGGAAAGTTTTAGATGTTTGCAACATTCAGTCTAGAAACCCATAATTAAACTCTCTCCAATCCAAAACAGGCCTGTCACAATATGTGACACAATTATAAATTTTTCTTTAACTTTGTTTGTTATGCGTTTTGTCTCTTTTTTGACAAATGAATTGCATTCCAAATACGTGTAGAGAGGTGGAGGCAGAGTTACCATAACTGTAGCGCTTGTTGTTCCTGTGTTGATCATCATGTGTGTAATAATAAGATTCTGTTTTTAGAATATCACAGTTAAGGTTAGAATTGGTTTAATGTGACACCCTCAATCAAAAACAATATCTGATGTTACAAACAAGTAACTTTCCAGCCCTAAAGTCTTACACAACCTCTACATTTTCCACACCAGATTTTTTAGAAAGCAAGGTGATCCTATATTTGGGAGAGCTGAGGGACCTTTCTTTTTAAAGGCAGAAGCAAACAGACATGTGAATGGATATGGATGCATGCTTGCACACTCACCTGGTTGATGCGTAGTAAGGCACCTCTGCTGGGAAAGATGGCAGAATTCCTTGAATCGACAGACACGGTGTGCTGCAAACAAAACCAACGGGAGTTTTGCTGAACTGGTGCAATGGACAAAATGGTTTTACAACACTCAAAGGCCTTTCCTTAAAATTACACTCATTAAAGGAAAATACGGAAAAGAAATGCTATCAGAAGACAAATCCGATACAAGAAACACGGTGTACTCAGAGGTTAGACAGGTCTGCAGGCCGTACCGAGAGGGCGGACTTCAGCGAGTGTCCACTCTCCTCTCGCACTGCGAAGGAAGCGCTGCGTGCCAGGCAGCCCAGCTCCCTCCATACGCCCTCCCACTTCAGTGTGTGGTTGGTCACCCCAAGAGGAAACTGCAGGGAGACACAGAACTGTAACATCAGAGCCTACCTCTGGAAATACTTATTTCAACTGTTTTTTAGCTACAATATCAGTATTTTTCATGGCAGCCTGGTGTTTTTCTCTGGTGCTGCTGGTACTGTGCATGTGGCAGATTGTCTTGCAGATAATGTGTTGAATCTTCTCAGTGCAACAGTGTGTCTGCACAGACCCATGAGGCCAGATTCATCAGTTTCACATGTTATGGTGGTGATAGACATCAATATGCACTTTCAAAAGGCAACAATAGCGAACAGAGACACACACACACACACACACACACTTACGTTTAATTCTGCAGACACGCCTCTGTCAGTCTCTTTTAATGAGCTCCAGGGAAACTGGCCGGTGACTTTGTACATGTTGAGGGTTAGGCTGAAACAGAGGACACTTACTTTTTAAAAAAACACACTTTCAAAATGTTTTTATTACTATTACATTTAAAAATCCTCTGATTGTTAACTTTTTCCGTATGCTGTATGATTTAACGTCACACACTGTTACTGACAGTGACTGACCATGTGTGGAATCTGCATTGTGCACATACTTGCGTTCAAAGTGTCCTGGCTGGGGCTTGAAGAAGGACAGACCGTAGGACGTCTCCTTTGTCCCGTAAGAGAACTGAAACGTGAGCTTCTCTGCTCGTCCAAACATGTTGGGCAGCTTCAGACCCAGCACCTGCAAGACCAGGCAGAGGGTCACAACACATACAGTTTGGAACAAGGCAGGACTGTGTTCATTCATGCCGGCCAGCTTCTACCAGTGCCAAGTCTAATAGTCCTCATGGACTGGAAAAAACTGTAGTGGTCAGAGGAGGGAAGAGCTTTAGCATGCAGTTTAAATGACACATCAGGCTCTCACCATGCTTCCTTCATTGTTGCCAACCATGGTGTTGTAGCTTCCTGTCAGCCTCTTGACCTCCGTCACCTCAAACGTTACATCCAGCCCATTGGGGAGGGCGTCTACACCTGAGGAGGAAGAGCCAGTCAGGATGAAGAACACACTGACAGCCAGAAGAATTCAAACATGTCACAGTTTCTACTGGAAGATCTATTTTGAAGATCTGATTCAGTTACCTTCGGATGTGTCGATAAGAACCTCCACCTCTTTGAAGATTCCCAGGCGGAGCAGCTTCTGTCTGGCCACGTGAGCTTTTTTCATCACCTGAAACAGACCTCAGCACTTATCTACCGAACCTGAAGCTGATAAATTCAGAGAGCCTTAATGAGCGTTACAGTCAGACCACAGATACGTACATCAATGAGGTTTTTGGCGTGAAAAACGTCAGAGATCTCATAGCCGAGCAGATCCTCTTTGGTTCTCCCCAGGCCCTGAATGTTGACATGCTGGACGACCACCTGCAGTCAAGGATGTTTTCTTTGGATTACTTTCACATTGACGTCTCATAAAAAAGAAAATGCATTTAAAAAGCATTTTGCCTAAATACTGCTGACAATGATGCATGATGTTCTGACTGTGATAGCTCGTAGGAAAATATGCAACCTGCTTTCATTTCATTTAAATAGCTGTAATTTNTAGCTCGTAGGAAAATATGCAACCTGCTTTCATTTCATTTAAATAGCTGTAATTTGCATAGTTTTCTCTCTTTAATTCAATTCAATTTTATTTAGATAGTGCAGTTTACAACATATGTCATCACACAGCGCTTAACATAGTAAGAATTAGAATTTGAATTAGAATAAAACTTTATTAATCCCTTCAGTACAGGACGTCAGGGAAATTGCTAAATTTCTAAGGTATAGACCTTACAAATTCAAACAGAGAACCCAACAATCCAAAGTAGCCTCTGGACGTCCTCTGAGTAAGTGGTCGGCAACGGTGGGAAGGAACCAAAAAAAACAAAACCCCCTCCATTTGTTTCACTTTAAATGAATGATAGTTATCAGTTATGCTCTGCTACACTGCACCACTGCATCACATTGTCTTTCACATATTTATATTTTTACTCTCCTGCTCCACTGTCAGATGTTAACGTGTTTTACCAAAAGAAAAAAAACTTCTACTGATTTTAAACTGGCTTTTTTATGCAGCCCTCGTTTATTGTGCTAAACTGATCAGAGCAACATTAGTCTTAAAGTGAGAAAATAAATACCAGGCTTCCCTCTGTGGTTCTACAACATTTGTTACCTCATTCACATTCCTCTGTAGAGTCCCTCATTCATGCTTAGGTTGGGGTTAGCTTTAGCTTGGCCACTGCTTCTAAGTTCTCTTATTTCAGCTCAGTCAGCAGCTCCTCGTCTCATCAGTCTTAGTCAGTCAGTCAGTCAGTCAGTTTACAGTCAGGTGAATCATTGGCTCTGGCTCACTCAATCAATACATGCAGCTATGAGTGATGCATACTAATGGGAGGAAAACTACTCAACTGTGCTCATCTAACTATTGATAATAAGTAAAGTCTGCTGCAGAACATAAACACAAACATCTACACACATCAAGTCCTCCACAGCAGATTCTACAGCACTTAAAATGAAGTACGGATGTCAACTTAAAGACACCGAACACTACTGAACACAATAAATAAAGACGGAGGCATGTGAAAGAAAACGTATGTGTAGCGTGTGCACTTGAGGGAGATGCCTTGAACAGGTATTCTCACCAAAAGAAATCATGAAAAATTCAGTTTTGAAATGTGTACCTCTAAGAATGAAATCTCATTAAAATCAGTGTTATGTACCAGGAAACTGGGACTGTAACCTGCAATAACTCAGAGAGTACAAGATCAACCAGTCCCTCCATTTGGACAGAGAGATAAGAGGAGCATGTTCTGTCCTACAAACATTGAGAATTCCTCAAAATGCTCCTATTTAAACATCTTTAATGCCGTACTATGACACTGTTATTATTATTATTACTACTACTCACATCTTTGTTTTCGAGGATCTCCTGCTTGGAGTCCTGCTCTGGTTCTGGAGTCTCCATCAGGTCATCAGGGTGGACGCCCAAGTCCCGGCCATGCATCGGTAGAGGATCCAGACTCTGCAAAAAAAAGGACGAGTAAAGCTATTTAAAGTTTCCTGTCTGTATGCAAATGAACATAGTAAATCTTTTGTTGTGCAGCAGGTTTTGTTGAGTGTGTATCTCTACAATGGTTGGGTCCACTCTATGCCCAGTTCTGCAACTGTGTTTATTTATGTTGGTTTGACAATTTGATATTTATGTCACAATGCAGGTAAAACAGCGAACACGAAAGATTTATGGAGAACATAAGTAAATACACCCCAGTGCAACCTTACACCAAGAAAACAGCACAGGACCATCAGTGACTGAAGATTTTTGGAAACTGAGCGTGAGCAGTAATCAGGAGGTACAGTGCCACTAATCAGAGCTGCTACAAATGTCCTCCTAACATCATGTCATAAACTGTGTGCTATTTTCACAATCAAGCTGTGAGAAAGAGGCGGCAAGTGGAGTTTCTGTACCAGCTCAGATGTTGTGAAGGACGCTGCACAACATTAACCTCAACGCACAGTTCCTAAAAAAACCACCCCTACTTGCCCTTTGGCACAAAACCACCAGGTGAAACTTTACAAAAGAACAGGACAAGAAACTTGAAGAAAACTGGGAGCCTGTTCTTTGATCAGATGAGACCAGGATGAATTTGTTTGGCTCCAATGCGGTCCAGCACGTTGGACAGTAACTTGGACCATCACAGTGAATACACAGTCCTGACAGATGGAAGAGTTTGGGTATAACTTGTTGGGGAGGTGACATGTTTGCCTTTGGATATACCAAAATGTTGGCTGACGAGACAAACAGGAATACTCCAGCATAATAACAATGGAAAGACCAACATCACACAACATCATCCAGAGAAAGACAAAGTAGAACCTGTGACATGGGCAAATGTCGCCTGATTTGAATTCCATGCAACACCTTTATGTATTTAAAAAAAAAAAAGAGGGCAACACAACCTCTCCAGCAAAGACCAGCTAAACAAACTGTCCCTGCAAAATGATAGAACATCTTTTCGTAAATATCTACCGTGCCAAGGAGGATAATCAAAAACGTCTTTTGAATGTCAGTAAAAAAAGAGATCTGAATGTCAACAACACTGTCCTAACTTCTGTAGCACTGAGTCGCTACAGTCAATTTAATTTAATTATTACAAACTGCCCTGCGATGGACTGGCGACCTGTCCAGGGTGTCCCCTGCCTTCGCCCTAAGTCAGCTGGGATAGGCTCCAGCCCCCCACGACCCTAGTGAGGATTAAGCAGTGTATAGAAAAAAAAATGGATGGATATTACAAACTGTTTTTAATTTTACGATAAAGGCAAATACTTATTTCAACATGCAATTAGTGTAAGGTGGTACAATTCAGAATTTTTTGACATTTAGTTGATACTGCACAGAGGTGTACGGTTTCTGTTGCATACTTTAATTAGGCTCAACATAGTCCATCATTAGCAGTTGACAAAAAACTAAGTATAGCACCTTTACAGGGGCAGCTGTTATGAAGACAAGGCTCAGGGCAGGCAGTGGGTGGGGCAGCCCCAGAGGAGTGTCTGATGTCCGACGACCAGTGAAAGTCACTGACTGTACCTGACAGGTGACCAGCAGACTGTGAACACAGCTGGCTGTATGAGGACAAATACTGACATTAAGAAAGGAGAAATGTGTTCTCCTCTCCAAAGCTGTTACACAACAGGAACATCATTTCTCCGTTTCCTCCTCCTTTGCACTGTTTTTTTTTTGCCTAATAAATGTCTTTTGGCTGTTACCTGTCTGACTGCTCCCCAACATTAGCCCATGTTTTGGGGATGGCTTTAAAAATGCCGCCCAGCCTGAACTAGCTGCCCCATGGTCATTTTAATTAGCTGAAGGCGACGGTAAACCGTTTCACCAGCAGCAGTTAGGCCCTACACACCTATGTCCAGCCGTGTGTTGTCAGTGTTGTTGGTCTTTTCCCAGCAGTGTGTAACAGAACATCGAGTCCACATGCTGCTGCTGCTGCTGCTGCTGGTGGCTCTGCAGCCTTCAGGGAGGTCACGGCACCAAACACACCACACAGCCTGCTGCCAGGAAGAGAGGAGGTTTACCTTAGCATGGACGGTCCCCATGGTGACTACCCGCTCCTAAACACCTCTTCGGCCGGACGTAGCTGCTCTGTGTGAGGGGGGAAACAGACAAATGACAGCGGCTACTTTCTCCAGTACCAAACCCCCTTCAAGGGAGACGCCATGACAGTCACTGCTCCAGTGCGCTGCTGAGTTCAAGTGCTGCTCGGAATGTACACAACTCCATCCAGGCTCGTTCCTATCTCAGATTGTAAGCTAGCCGCTGCAGAAAATGTTGGAACATGAAAAGGTGGAACACGTGTTAGTACGTTTGCTTAAATTGAGTTCCCTACTGTCGCTCAACTGTGAAGCTAAAAGCCACAAACAGCCTTTGGCTCCTGTTAAGCGACTCCACTGACAAACAGCTGATTAGAACAAACCCAGCGGCCCTTAGTTACACCACGATGCTGTTTGAAACATCACGATATGCTACATTTGTCAGTCTAAAAAAAATCAGTGACAACATATAGCACAAAGAAAGGCTGCTAACATGACGACGTTAACAAAGGTGATAAATATCTTGCTCATGAACGCATCACCATGTCCTCCCTCTGTGATTGGACAGCAGAGAGAACGCACTGAGGGGGGCGTGGCGGGTTCAAGCCGCGTTGACTGAGCGTCTCCAGCAGGTGGCGCTGTTCGCCTTCTCTTCGCAGAATCCGCCGGCACAAACAGGCTCGTAAACATGTTTGGACCGCAGCGATGTTCGGTCGGTTTCGGGCCGGTTTGAGGCCTTTCTCTGTGCGTGAGTGTGCGTGAGTGTTAAACGTCCTGAACTCACCACCAGTACAGTTGTGACCAGACCTCATCACAGACTTCTGTTCAATTAAATCAAACAGCAATAAATCTCATCCTGCAATAACTTCATTTCTGAGAAAACAAAGATGTGCTTATGTGACTTTTTCTGGTTTCACTACATTAAAGTGACCTTCTTGTGCTTGTTGTGGTTCAGGAAACGACCAGACAGTGCCGTGTAGTGCTTATTAGGAGGGGAAAAATAAGAATGAAGTATTATTTGTTTGACTGCTTTCTAACCTTTGAATGGAATGAATGTTTGCTGGCGTTTTAAATATCTGGATCAACCTACCAGTGACGTCCCCTGTGTGGAGCTGCTCTGCTGCTCCAACAGACCCCCAGTATCACGGTGGCCAAACACCATCCTGACTCCAGTCTGAGTGGGACCACTTCATACTGTAATTACTTAACAATGTGCACAGTGGGGCGGCATAATAGTAGACATGCTGTATGAAAAAAAATAAACATTTGCCAGAACAGTAAAAGTGTAGCTTCTAGTCTGTAAATGTGAAGAATGGATCACTTTCACTGCAGAAATGAAAGATGCAGTCATATGTGGATTTGGATAAATATAAGGACAACGTAGACATGAAGGCAGTGTATGTCTCTTGTTCCAGTTCTAGCTTACAAGCTCATTCCTTTCATCAAAAAGTATATTTAATCTGATACACATAAAATCGTGCAAAATGAAAACATAGGCGGTGAAAAAATCATTTTGCCATAGTAGACGGTGCCTGTAGATCAGGTTAAAAGACTCATATTTCTCAGTTTTCATTGTGCTTTTGTTCAAACTGACTATCAAATTACCACAGATTTATTTGTGGGAGCCCCCTGGGGGTATAGTTCCTGCTTTGCCCCACTAATAATCCATTCTAGACCCTTGATGTCAGTCTGTGAGGTGTTGTCTTAAACCTGAACACCTTGTCAGGCTTCACCTAATTTGATTCAGAAAACCAGATCAGTAAATAGCAAAAAAGAAAAGTTTTTGCCCCAAATAATCACTAATTTGCCCACACAGTAATAGGTAGCTCCCCAAACTGCGGTCCTGGGACCTTTAAGTCTTGATTACACGACCGTGCACACCCAACACAGACAGATGTGTAAGATGTGTAGTTGTTGGTGTTACACTGCTTTCTAGTTTGCTTGGAGCTAACTAGGATGACTCTGTTTCATATATGCACAGTAGGTCACATCGATGCATTCTGCACAAAAACATTACTGCTGAGCATGCACACTGCTGCCTTTGTAGTACAGCAGTCCACACAGACACAAACTTTAGGCTGCACATAGACCTTTGCGTCCTTGCAAATGTGCAAAGTATAACACTGGTGTCTGGGCTTCTTGGTGCTATCGGGTTGTGAAAAACTGAGTTAAGGTTTCTTTTCTTTTTCTTTTAACAGTACCAAATGTGAAGACCTGATCATTGTGCCTTTAAATTAGAATAGTTGTGGTTCCACAACAGAACTGTGGAACCAGGGTGCTGCATGGTGGACCAAGCTGCATTTCCACCCATTTGTAGCAGAACTGTTGCATCACCAGAACAACAGACATTTGTTTTTATAGTAACTGTTGTTCAGGGGAATAAAAATCAAGAATGATGGCAAACTGCATTGTTTAGCTTATGTATTGTGTTTTTAAATATTTACTTAAACCAACTGTGTTCCAGTTGTAGGCCTTTTCCAGGGTTTTTCCTTTAATATGAGACACTGATAACATCGTGGTTCCAACTTCAGGTCCTGGTGTTTTCTGGAGGGACTGAGGCTCTGAACCACCACACCAGGACAGTCTGTACAATATTA